TTTATCGATCTGATCTGATCCTAAGTACAGTTGGGAAAGTTCATTTCATAGTTCACTACATGGTTAACCTTGAAAAGACTCAATTTAAACAATCCGACTCATGAAATCATTTGTTTTATGAGATATGTTCAAGATATCTTTATTGGGAAACCATGCATAGAAAAAACAAATATTAAACTACTTATTCAGCAAAGTTTATAAAACAGGATTCAATTTACTATAAAGATGACGGGACAATTCAACGTTCAATTTATCAAAAAGATACATGGAATGGTGTTTATCTGAATTTTAACAGCTCTAATTATAAAAACTCACCGATGAAAGTATAATTTTACAGAAAGAATATACACTACTTACTGATGTGCTCGCTAGAAGCGGGGGAATAAATGAACGTTAAACAATGTTTTAGGGAAAATGCATTTCCAAAGAAATTTATCACGAAAAGTAATGATAAATAAGAAACCTGTCTTCGTTCAACTTTATTTCAAAAGTGATAACTGACGGACAATTGGAAGCCACAGTAACTGAAACTTATCCTGTAACAAAGCTCATTATTCAATCAGTAAGGCAGTCAGTTAGGTAGAACACGTAGAACATTGTGCATAGGTACATCAGTTCAAATTGTCACACCACATTAGCACAGAGACGCAATTGTCAATCCGAATCCCCTAGCAGTAGAGGTAGTAGAAGAATTAGCAGTAATCAGAGAGATTAGGCTTGGAAGATATTATTCAAGAAGTATAATCTAGTGAAGTAAATTTGAGACGATGATGGTCATGAGGAATTCAGAAGATTCGAATTTGAGTGAACACAATGAATGAGTGCATCTTCACCGTTGCAAACAATTTTGAGCCTCATTATTCTATATAAGACAAAATTTTGTTTACTCCAATCAAACATAGATAGGCAACCGTTTCATGTTACCATTAACTGTGCATATATATTTACAAGTATGTGTCAAGACAGTGTTAATGACAGGAGAGAAAGAACTGGTCACACATTCGATTCTACGAACATATCACAGAAGGTTTCAGGTCACTGTGACTAACAATTTTAAGCAATGCTATTACAAAACATGACATGGAGCACCAAGTTGGAATCCTTTGGGATCATCAATTCCGTTCTTTTATGGTTCTCTGAAGCGTTAGCTATCAAATGACTTAATCCGAACTTCTCATATATTCAACCACGTCATTCGATAATAAGCTGTATTAGTCTCTTGATTACCTTGTGCCACGTAATTTAGAATCTTTTCTCATATACATTTGTAATTATTTACAACACTCTTCACATATCTTCAATCTCATTTAACTCATGATGCTGAGAAATATTACATTTTCATTAGTTAAATTATGTAAACTTTAGAATAACTGTGATTGTATTTTGAGTAGCTCACATAAATCTAACGAAATAAAATGAATTTCTGATATTCGGTTCAATTTTTAGGTTTCAACTAAGGTGCGAAAATAAACTGCGACCGCCCTCCCCCTCACAGTGTCTCAAGCAGCTCATATTACTTGTTCAAAATGAAGACTGGTGTCAGACAAGCTTGCTTACGCTCACCCCTTTTCTTTCTTCTGGTAGTAGGATGGATTATGAAGGTGTCAACATTTTGGACAGACAGACAGGCAGACACAACGCAGAACTTCGTAAGTAAGTACATCACTTCAGGTTGCCCCATACCACGTCAGCACAGAGACGTAACTGTTATTTCAAATCCAAGAGTGATAGCGATAGTAGAAGTATTAGCAGCAATGGAGAAGATTAAGGAGCAAAGATATCATTCGTAAAGTATAATTCAGTGAGATAAGTTTAGAAGGAGAAAGACAGAGATTATGAGGAATTCAGAAGGTTAGAATTTCATAGAACACAAAGAGTGGATGCACCTGCGTTATTGCAAACGATTCTGAGCCATCTCATTCAAGGTCTCTAATTATCGGTGAATTTCGTCTTGCGAACCCCAACCAGATAGCTTACAGGTACCGACATGACTCAATCCACTTGTCAGTTCAGCATCTTGGAAGAAGCACGAGATACAGTGGACATCTAGGATATGGCTGGACGATCTACACTTCGCAGATGATCTATCGCACACCACCCACACAACAAGAGAATACGGCCAGTGTGGTAACAGTCTCTGCAGCTGTCGGTCTCAGTATTCACAAAGGAAAAAGTGAGCTAAACCAACATGCACCAACCAAATCACACTTGACATGAAAACAATTCTACTGTATGCAGCGGAAACTTGATGAACTAAGGAAAGCCATCAACCACAGGATACATGTGATTGCTAACAGTTTTTTCTACCCAAAACAACCCCTACTGTAGGAAGAGACAACAAACTAGTTTGCAGATGAGGAAGACATTATTGACAAAACCTACTAAAGGTGGATAGAACATACGGTGACGAAGGAAATCACATAAATTAAAATCTTCAAGGTGAAAAGAAATGAGGAACAGACATCAAATGAGTGAATAGCTCCTGGGAACAACCAAAAACGAAGGCCGTAGACAGAATAGGTCTAAGTAGTCGGAGTAAAGGGGAATCGAAGGTTCTAAATTAGAAAAAAACAAACTTATTTTAAAAAGAATCTCTATTATAATCGATTTTTCTTCACTTACTGACAATTTCAACGATAATTCTTTTGATAATACAACACCTTTTTGTATTTCAATCTCAGCCATTGATCGTGTACAACGTTCTGTACGAAAATTATACTCTTGTTCATAATCTGTATTATTTTTAAATGTTGTTGAAAATAGAACATGCGATTTCGGTAATTTCATTGTAATATTATCAAAATATTCCGGTTTCTCATGATTAACTTGTATATCATCCCAAATAAAACGTAAACCTAATTCTACTGGATCATATTTTTTCTGATCTTTCGTTGCTGTCACATGAAACATATTGATTGCCCATATTTTTAAATTATTCGGTAAATCAAATAATTCCGGTTCTTTTGGTGTAGTGGATGTTGGCGCTGTTGCTGTTTGTCGTGGTGTTGTTACGGTTCTATTCATTGATAATTAATTTTGTTTAAATTAACTAACAGTATTTTATTCAATTGTCAATGATTTAATGGAACCAATTCAATTGAAAAATTTAAACAACAGTCTTTTTCTTCTTCTCAATCTATCTATCTATCTATCCGTCTACTGTCCAATTTTTCTTTTTCTCTTCAATCCTATTGGTTGTTAATCATTTCAAAAATGAAAAAATCGACCAATCAGAATGCTAATCAGTTTGTTTGTTTTAAATTCGACACAATCACAAATGATCAAGTGTCAATTGTTTATGTGTAGCATTGCTTCTAAACACTGTGTGATATTTTCGAAATTTGTCATTATTACTTCGTGTTATCATTGTTGGCTTGTTTGTTTGTAAGTGAGAACAAACAATATTTGAACATTTTTGTATGTGTTCATGTGTGTATTCGAAGAACGACTACTGTTAGACCCCTGTCTATGTTAATTCGGTTGAACAAAATTTTGTACAAAAAGGGGATGATGAATAGTGTGAGTGTGTGTGTGTGTTACCACGTGTGTGTGATACGATTAGATCAGTTAGTTAGTTTCATCTTCCCTTTTAGTGTATTTTATTATTTCTGACTGTAAATTCTAATCTAAGGGATAACATTTCTAGTGTGTATTCATTCAGTTAAGAGAAAATTTTACAAATATTATTCGTCCGAAGGACAGAAAATAGAGTGACGTGAAATAATTGATTTTTGAGGACAACTATTGAAAATCTTTGAGTCCTGGATAATTATTCCCTCCTAGTATAAAGACTTCTAAGTAGTATGAAATCATGATAATTCGACTGTAGAATCGAACCCAGAACCTTTCCTTCTTTCATGAGAATATTTAACTTCTAGGCTAGAAAACCTAGGATCCACTTGTGTACATGTATAGCTTCAATCAAATTCACACGATGTCAACCAACAGGCAGCGAAGCTTAATTCTAAAGTATTGTCCATTGTAAAGCCACACCCAAAGTTTCCTAAAGTCTAGGATACTTGTCGACTTTTCCGGCCAAATCAATAGAACTCTCCAAATGGGCTGGAAATCCATCACGTGAACAACTTTCATTGTCATTAGTGAATGCAGACCTTTTTAACGCCATAGTACAGGTTAATTCCATTTCACTGGGCATTCAGAATATTCATATAGGTTGTGTTATATATAGAATGTCTTAGACGCATTTCTCTTACTGGTCGGTGTGTTTCGGTAGGATTGAATGTGTGCATGGCATGGTCGATGATGGTGTATAGTGTGCAGTGGAAACCGGTCGAGTTCAGAGGGACCTATGTTAATATTCAAAGGGATGGTCCGAGGACCTCCTCACTGATAAAAACTACGCGTCCGAGCGAGCCCGATTAGGGATCGTCGCAGGCTTCAACACGCCGGAGTGCAATGGCGAGCCTTCACCTGGGGCCAGGGCATTCGTGATCTAAGTAAAAAAATGCTGTTTCGCAACTGTTCTCTGCCAAATCCCTGAACTAATCATGGAGGATAAAATAGTTGGGTGTGTCAACCACTTCACTTACCTTAGAAGTCTCGTGATTAATGATGTCTGATAAAATCTTGGCATGAATTTAGAAAGCTCAGTTGACTACTTTCTAACTAGCCAATTAATGGACGAATAGACTGTTCAACAGTTTGCGACATACTTTTTCTTACGAGTGTGTAATATAACCTTTAAAAATAGAAGATATCCGTAGGTTACTAGTATTTGATCGAATTATCGATCGTATATTTTGAGATTCTCAACTAAACAATTTTAAGGCTAACTTCCGAACACTAAGTGAGTATGGTATATCAATCGACAAGGTAATACTCATCCACTTCAATGATGCCTGATGTATAAACCAAGATACTACATTAGTTCATGACGACATTGTGGTGCGAGCTACTTATAAGTAGTATATGACGTGAGTGTCAACGTAATGTCTGGCAGCAGAAGATGGGGGAAGATCAAGAAAGGAAGAGTTAGAAGAACACAATGGAATTTGTATGAATTGCATGAATAGTGACAATAGATTGATGTTTTGCAACAGGAACAGTTCAGTTCGATATGATGGACTGATATTTTGAAAATTAACGATTTACGATATGGTTTTCCTATTTTACTGAGTAACTCTGTAATTTTCGTTAAATACAATGCGGTTGCCCCACCTGTGTTCTCGTTCACTACAACACTCACTTGGATTGAGCTATCTAGCTGGATAAAAACTATGTAGTTGAGGTTTGCATGATTATGTTAACCGTTGATTAACAACTTTCTATAACATGGTTCAAAATTGTTCAGTCAGTATAGGGCAAGTGTATTCACTCTTTTTCGATCGATAAATATCAGTTTGTTATCCTTGGGTTCATTAGGACACGACTAGGTATCAGCGAACTGGACGTAAATCAGTGACACAATAACAGGACAACTAAGTTATTCTCTGCTCCATAGCCTAGCTAACTAACGCTAAAAGTTTAAAGCCAGCAAAAACGATTCTATAATCCAGAAGTAGCCCAGTGCAAATGACCTAACACTTATTCAATTCGAGAGTAATTTAAACAGTACAAAAAGTAACCTTGGAAGAGCTACAAAATAGCACACTTAAAGAAGAAAATGAACCAATCAATTTTAAGGTCCTTCCAACTAGGAAAAGTTATAAGTGGTACTTTTGAAGCGAAAATAAGAAAGTCAAATTTCCAAAAAATCTATTATGAAGTGAAGAAGTTTACCATGCGATTTCTCGGTATCTAGCATCCTCAACACCTTGTATTGTCATATTCTTGGGACCTACCCGCCGTCGTCGATATGATCTCATGGAACATAGGTCTACTTATTTTGGGAACGAAGCCAGGTTGAAGGTATCCATCCTAATTTCGAGTGAGAGATTCCTGCTCATCAATAAGCGATCTAGTGCTAACTGTTTCTGCAGCTGGTTCCGATTCCGAGTCCACTAGTCTCTTCGCATCTTCTACTCTATACATCAAATGTTCTTATCTTCAAACAACATGCGCCATCGTCCACGGATCATGGTTTGGTCTGTAGTCTCGAATAAACACTGGTCACCCAACCTCGTAAGTTGGCAGCCCCTGAAATTCTATCCACAGGGTCCCTGGTAGCGTTAAGTTGCGTCTGTAGTAACTTTCCTGCCATTTTCTCCCCTTTAGATACAAGTAGAGCCCGCTCAAACGTATCTGAAAACCTCTCTGCCTGACCACTTGACTACGGATGGTAGAGTGAAGAATGGCGATATTGGTGCCCATCTGTCAGTGGAATTTTAGAAATCGACTAGATGTGAACCGAGAAATATTATCCGATACAATTACATCAGGCAATCCGTTTTGGGCGAATTCCATCAAGAGCTGTGGAGTCTTGGGTGCCATTGGTGGGATAATGGGTGGATTTCCAACCATTTGAAGAATGCATCAACTACAACTAAGTAGGTAATCCCGTTGATTTGTCCCTTGAACTCGATAAGTATCCTAGATCAAGGACACTTATGTTATGGCTTTGCACTCGACAGTAATTTAGAGTCAAAGTTCACTGGCTGTATGCACCATGTATATTTGCTTACCAATTCTGTGATATGCCGGTCCGTGAGCAGCCTATATGCAGAACTCACTTGTTTTACTCCAGAATGACCGATTTGAAACTGTCGAAACACAAACATCCATGTACAACACGAAATGAATCACAATGATGGTTAAGGTATATTACGTCACCGTAGAAGACGGTAATCAACCACACGGTAATGACGTAGATTATCGTTTTTTTTTAATGTTCAGGTCTTTACTCGAGGCATCTTGGATTTCTGATGCCGACGATGGTGCGGTACGAATGACATTGATCAGGCAACATGTTGTGTTAACAGAGAAGCGAGAATCGTGCCTTTCACTGAGATGTCGACCGACTAACCGTTACAAGGCACCTGCCTGACCAAATTGTAAGATGCGGCAGTACTAAATATCAAAGTCATATCCCAAAAGAACTATGGCCTAAAGTTGGAGACCACTTGTAGAATTGACTTGAAAAAATGGTGAGCAACGACTTTTCGTCTATTAGCACTGTAAATCTTCGGCCGAACAAAAACCTGTGTAAACGACACACGGCAATAGCTGATTAATCCCAGAAACGATCGTAAAACAGAAACGTTGGCAGAACCAGACACCAGTTGAACAGCTCGAATATTTTCAGTGTCTAGTCTGCATCCTGTTACCTCAAAGATGATACCTAAATACTTTGCTGACTTTGGTAAAAACTGGTACTTTTTTGGATGAAGCCAGAAACCATCGCGCGCTCTCATTATTATTTTAACGACTAAACTCTAGTCGTTATATATATATATAAGTAGGACGCAGGACAGAGTAGTTTGGAGGTTGCTGGTTGGCGGCCTATTGTAGTGTCTACCAATATGTCTATAGCTTGTCTCAGCTTGGACAAACTGATTAATTCATACTTAATGAGTTATTCAAATGACTTTCAACCTCAATTATTCTCTGATAAACTTGATTGTTTTTATTTGAGTGCATAGATGCACGTTCACTTTACTTATTACATGTCTAGCTTATTTTGCCGGACTATAAATACTGAGTCAAGTATTTATTAACAGCTGTCGACGCCAAATACTTCGGATCCGTTGGCCATTTGTAAAACAAACATATTATTTACTGACTATCTTCTTTCACATATTTTCTAGTCTTGAGAACATTTTGCATTCCGGTGTAACACTTTTGTTTCCGATAGTAATGTCTAGGCGACACTTTACTGCATACTACCTATAAGCCATGCTACGAATCTTTCCCACCACACAGGACCCTTAAACCATCGTTCATACATTATTACTTACTCCTGTTGAGCACAATAGAGCATAAGCTGCCAAACAGCATTCTCCACCCTACTCTGTACTGGGCTTCCCTTTCCAGTTCTGTCCGATTTTTGTTCATTCTTCGCATGTTTGTCTCTGTTTCTTGGCATTATGTGTTTTTTGGTCTTCTTGTTTCCCGTTGACCTTGAGAAGTCCAACTGAGGGTTTGTCTTGTGACGCAGTTGAGTACTTCACTTAATGTGTGTCCAATCCACTTCCAGAGCTTCTTACTGATTTCTCCCTTTACTGGAATCTGGTTTGTTCTCGCCCG